AAAGTTTCGATGCGAGAGAGCGATCCCTCAGAAATCCCATCGAATACCGCCACACCCCCGACTAGAGGGCTTGTCTCTTTTTCCACATGAGCCCCGAAAAACGTAGAGTTATACGAAGAGCAGGGCTCACGTGGATATAGCGGTGCGCCTTTACGCCGGTGGAGCGACGGAACACGTGGAGAAAGGAATGAGCCAATTTCTAAATCCTGCGTCGGGAAGAGTGGCGCGCGAGGAGGATGGGGTGGGGTGGGGGTAAGAGTTTGTGATTTAATTTGAGGGAAGTGGCGAGTCACGTACCTTGACTTGGTCTTGCTCTCCCTGATACTCGATGTTCTGGAAAATGGTCCATGTGTACCGCCGCTTCACCTCCATCCGAGCCATGTACCGCCGGTACCACTTCTGGATGAGAATGGCCGCCTTCATGCCTGGAACGCAAAACAGTAAGAACAGAGTGAGTTCAAGTGACCAAAATCTTGTGTTAACCAAAGTGTCATCAACACACAGAAATGTTTAACTGTGCACGATCAGGGCGGAGCACTTAGTACGGATGGGTGACGTGCTAAGGCAACATCCCGTATATGAGCTCTCAGACGTAGCCATATTTTCTTCGACAAAAAACAAATTCATCGGGAAAATTTTGAATATTTTTCTTCAAATTTTCAGACCACTTTATACACTATGTAATGTAAAATGTCTGAGCATTTCATTAAAAAAATATTAACGATCACTTTATTCAAAACTGCATGTTTTATCCGGGGAAATTTGGCAATCCTCGAATATTCATACCCATATGCCGCATTCCTCAGCACGGCAGTGTATTTAATGCGATGAAACAGATTGGTGCCGTTAAGTATGAATTTTAGCCGTCTGCATTTCCTAGTGAGCGAGTGGAGTAATGATTCTCATACTCCTAGACAGGCGACGTAATTTAATTAGCTCACTTATCACAGCTGAATTTTCATTTGGAGGAAAATAAGCGCAAATAAATGATGGAACTATAAATCACGCATCCTAGTCAGTAGTAATATGGATTTTTTTCATACATTTCATTTTTGAAAAACCAGAATTCATCGCCATTGCAAGAAATTTTAAGTGAGTTTTTCTCTCTTGCTTTTGTCTTCTCTAGAAAATGCTTTGAATTTTTTTCCAAAAATGTCAAATGATACTTCTGATACTACTTCAAAGAAAAAAAAATTATCATGAGGGAAATGATAAGATTGGTACCTAAGATCAAAGACCATCCTTTGTTTACCAGTGAAACAGTCGAGTTTTCATTCCTTTGATTTACACGCTGAAAAAAATAGGTCTGCAATTGAATTCCTGCTTTTCGTATTTTTTTTCCCCTCTCAAATGGCTGAAACACAACCCAAACCTCAATACACAATGCATCATAAACAGATACGCTTGGGCACAAATCTATGGGCACGAAGCGCCTTCATTTCGAAATGATACGCAGCTACGCTCAAAAGTCTGAATAATTGTATCCTAGGTTTACATGAAAATCAATGAAGGCGCGCTCTCGTATCTTGATCAGACCGAGTGGCTATTTAAATGATGAAGAGGAAGAAATATCATAGGCGGATGCAAAAATCTCGGACGGGGGGTGGGGGCCTCTTCCAGAAAACTTTTGAATTTTTGGGGCATCTCATAAATGTCCAGTTTGAGTCAATTTCGTCATGAATAATTGCCCAATTTATGTGTCTCTCTCTCATCTTCCCTCGTTCCTTTCTTCTTTTTTCCGTCTCTTTTTCTTCTTCCTTTTTTTCGGGCGAAGGAGGAGAGCGTACGCCCCTTACGCCCCCACCTAGGATCTGCACTGAAAAAAATTCTCGGCGTTTTTACCAAGGTCCGTTGGTACCTTTACCATCTCACTTTCTTTACCAATTATTGGTAATTTTACCAAGACAGACTGGTAAGCTTACCTAAAAACCGGTATTTTAACTGTTTTTTTCAGGTAATAATACCACTTTTAATGGTAATCAATTCCCGGTAACTTTGCCATTTTAATTCTACCATAGTCGATTAAAAATATTGGCGTTTTTACCAGAATTCTTGGTAATTTTACCCTTTTCTTAGTAAATACACCGAGGATTTTTTTTTCAGTACGCCTATGAGAAATACAGGTAGAATATATTGACGGTGAAACTACCAGACCACGTATCTCGTTTGCGGTGGTTATAAATCTTCCCTCAAATTTTATTTTTTTTTTTTTTTTAAACGAGAAAAATCAATATCATTCCTTGAAGTTTTCACAGAGATTTCTTTGCCTAGTCAAGAAAAAGCACGGAAGTTTTCAAGAATTGATACTGAGTAGTTTTCCATTTAAAAAATAAATGTAAGACGGGAAGTCTGCAACGTCACAAACCGAGATACGTGGTCTGGTAGTTTCTCCGTCGATATAGGATACGGAAAAATCGGAAGTATACGCAAATACGAGAAAATTCGGGGACATCAATGAGAGAGAAATAAAAACCATTCTCTCTAATAGACGTTTTCAACTCCCTGGCATCAGCCTATCTGGATTTCAGCCTATTGGGCGTTTATTTTTTTTAACCAAAAGGTAATCAACATGAAAGCTTCAGCCTTTCTGTAAATCCTTGGATGTAACGAATAGTTTCAACACATTTCCAGGCAGAAAATCATTTAGTTTTCTGCTGAAATAAAAAAAAAAAACACACACGAGAGAAAACTAGGCAACTTGTTGCATCACAAGTTGTGCTGCGACTTGCTGATTCCAATGAAAGCCATCCAATTTGACATGGCACATACCATATTTATGAGAATATCAAAACACGACTGTGATCCCGTGAGATCAATTTTAGCGCGGAAGTTATCAGGCGATTCAAATATGATCCTACGCGCTGATGAGGACTCATGTCGAAAATGATGAGAGTGATCTCGCTAACGACAACTTTAATCGGACGAAAATGCTTTTGGACGTCGCCGTAATCGATCATCTGCAACATCAATTGGAAATGAATTCATGGCTCTCCCTGCGGCATAAATGTTGTCAGTGAATGGAGATGTTGCATGTGTGAGGAATTTGCGATTTGACTGTTGATTCTAATGTAAAAGTTCGCGAGAAACACGATGGTGCCACTGGTTTTCTCTGAAATTAACTCCCAAGCTCAAATAAGCTCTAAAGGGTGAGGAAAAAACGGAGGGGATATCCCACGCTATCCTGAGGGTCCGCCTCTACATCAAGACAAACTCCCCATGCAAAGATAGAGAGCACATTTTCAAGGAAACTTGTGAGGACTGCGTGTATTTTTCCCACTTTGTAAAATAATTTTACTCAGTATTTAATCTCAAGCCTCAAAAACCTCCAAGATTATATATTCTTAACTTTCCTCGACGATTAATATAATCGGGGAGAATTCTGAACATTTGAAATGTTCGTGTCGACGGTAAAACTGCTAAAACCACGTATCTCGTTCGCGGTGTTTGAAATTCTCCTCTCCCATTTTCTTTTATTGAAGGAGAACAAATCGATATCATTTCTTAAAGTTTTCACAGAGTTTTCCTCAAACAGAGAAAGAAAATCACAGAAGTTTTCAAGAATTGACGCCGAGTATTTCTTCATTTAAAAATTAAATATGACAGGAAATCTACAACGTCACGAACCGAGATACGTGGTCTGGTATTTCCACTGTCAATATGGCGTTTTGCCGTTGTGCGGCAAAACGCTATCAGTGTTTGTCAGTTTCTATGAGCGGAGCGACAGTAACGAGATATAAACGTCAAATCAAACTGAAATATGGCAACCCTCGGAAAAGTTTGAGCGGGGAGCTTTGAGGTGGGATACACAATGAGTCAAAAGGGAAACCAATCCCCACAGAGACAGGGAATTACCGGATTTCTGCTCAGCTTTCGAAAAGTTCGAACCTTCAAATTTTAAAAGTACCGCTGCTTTCGCCTCATTGCTCTAAATGTAATTTATCTTCATCATAGCTCAGTCAGCATAACTTGTTGAATTATTTTCCTCTAGAGTACCTTCATAGACAGAGTATGGTCATTTCTGTGCCGGTTTTTCATTGGTCGCGTGAAAATAGGCTGACAGGGTGTTCTTACGGCCGTAAATAAACAAACAAGATGGCTGTTATCAGCCATTCATTCTGCTTCCTCTACTTTTCCAGTAAAAAAAATAACTATATCTCGAATTTTTACCCTCTTTTTGATGGGAAACTGGCGTGCAAACCGTTGCCGTTTCATGAGTGCGAAAGGTGCATTTCGTCGATCGGACAAGACACGCATTCATTTCTCCAAGACAAAAATTCTCGAGCTGATAATGGAGATGTTGTATGTGTGAGGAATTTGCGATTTGACTGTTGATTCTCATGTAAAAGTTTGCGAGAAACACGATGGTGCCACTGGTTTTCTCTGAAATCAACTCCCAAGCTCCAAAAAAGCTCTCAAGTTGAGGCAAAAATGGAGGGGATATCTCACCCTGCCCTGAGAGTCCACCTCTCCATCATGACAAACTCTCCATGCAAAGATACGGAGCAAATACATTAGCAGGGTTGCCGTGTTTTCAGTTTTGGAGTCCCCAAATAAAGTGGCAACCAACCCTGCTAATGTATTTGCTCCCTATCTTTGCATGGAGAGTTTGTCTTAATGGAGAGGTGGACTCTCAGGGTAGGGTGGGATATCCCCTCCATTTTGGCCTCAACTTGAGAGCTTTTTTTGAGCTTGGGAGATAATTTCAGAGAAAACCAGTGGCACCATCGTGTTTCTCGCGAACTTTTACATAGGAATCAACAGTCAAATCGCAAATTCCTCACACATGCAACATCTCCATTGCTGCTTCAGGGGTGCTGTTTTCAGGCCTATTATATTAAAGGGTGAATTTTAATAGTTTCCAGTAAAAAAAGTTACTGCATTTCAAATTATCACCCTCTTTTCGATTGGAGCCTGGCGTGAACCGTTGCCGTTGCATAAGCGCGAAGGGCGAATTATGTCGATCAGACAAGACACGCATTCATTTCTCCAAGACAAAAATTTCTCGAGCTGATAATTGCTGCTGCGGGAATGCTGTTTTCTGGACTACCAGGACTGAAGGATAAATTATAATTTTAATGCCCTCCACCTCTTCATAGATCACATTCATTCTGCTTCCTCTAATTTTCCGGTAAAAAAAAATTACTACATCTCGAGCTGATAATTACTGCTTCAGGGGTGCTGTTTTCTGGCCTATAATATTGAACGGTGAATTTTAATAGTTTCCAGTAAAAAAAAGTTACTGCATTTCGAATTCTCACCCTCTCTTCGATTGGAACCTGGCGTGAACCGTTGCCGTTGCATAAGCGCGAGGGGCGAATTTTGTCGATCGGACAAGACACGCATTCATTTTTCCAGGACAAAAATTCTTGAGCTGATAACTGTTGCTGCGGGGGTGCTGTTCTCTCGCCTACCTCGAATATTGAAG